TTATTTATTTATTTTTTAATTTTTTTGTTATTTTTATACCATTTGATCTTACAATAACATCTCTTCATATGTAAGCTTGGAACTACTGTATATATCTTTTATAATTGTACATTTGAATATATAAAAACATTTTAAAAACATAATATATGTACTGTACAGTATATATAATATAATATAATAATATATGATATTAATTATTAAATATTATATATGTATAACTAAATATTAATATCATATGTATAGTATAAGTGATGTAGACTATATATATATAATTTGTTAATATATATAATATAATACATTAAATAATTTCCTTTATTTTTTATGCAATACTTTCTTTTAAGATATGTTTGTAACATATATCGTTTCATATAAAATATAATGCAATATTCAATGAAAATGTATTTTCGTAGAAGTTTTAGAAGAGGAAATCGGTTTAAGGAAGAGAGATTCACCCGGCCAATGACGCCTGGGTGTAAATTTTGGCAACATTTACGTGATAAAAGTAGCTTCTGTTTCTCTGCCAACATTTTATATATCGAAAGCACGTTATTTATCACCTAGGCTCGGTTACAAGTTTCGAATATTTTTATATTCTAGATTATTATTTTTCGTTTTAGTTTTTTTGTGGTCAATAATTGGTTTAATTTAACAAAACCTAAAATATACACAAATTCATATACATTATAACAATCCATACGAATATAATAACTATTCTTTATACAATAATTAAAAAAAATTTAAGAGTACTACTATCATAAAAACGTTCTTAGAAGCAATCCTTTAGATATTTTTAGCTTTCTAAAAGTTATCTTTATGTTTGGGAATCTTATATTTTTTTTTATATTTATGGAAATTGGTGATCTGCATTCTGTATTATCTTTATAATTAGATGGCGTGCACATATTGCGACGACATATTTTGCTTCACTTTTTAATCCCACCCCCTTCTGTAAACAATTCGTCATTTGCCAATCACCATGTATATGTACTCCCTCTTCATTTCCGCAATCACATGTATAATCCATGTACAATAAATGTCAATTAACAATAGAATATTCAAAAATAAATAAATTAATTTGAATGTACAAACACTCGGATGACCTCCCCTCCTCCATCTGAATGTCGTCGCAATAAATACATGCCGCCTTACTAGTTCATTTAAACTAATTCCTCAATAGATAGACTGTGCAGGCCACAATGTAAGCATTTGTGTCTTATTTGTCATTAATTTGCTTAGTTTATTTTCAAGTATTATTTTCATATTTATTTATTTACCTGGAGCAGTTTAACGTAAAAAGCTATTGTGCCAAAAGACAATAACTAACTAACTTTGAATATAAATAGAGATAAGAAAGCTCCCAGTTCAACAGATTGTTGTAGGAAATTTTACTGAAGGAAAACGTTTCTAATTTAAAAAGAAAGATGATAAGAAAAATTTGAAATAATTGCCTTCCTTTAAATTATAAGTTACTTACTTTTATAACATTAGTATATATATTTTTTCTGTTTTGGTATCTTTACAATAGGTAGATATAATTTCAATCCATAATTTATTAATGTTCATGGCTGTGATTAAAATTACTTGGCGCTTGACTTCCTAAATTTATCGTAAACCAACACAGTGAAAGCTGCAACTCAGTTCTTTTTTTTAAATAATTAATCTCTTTTAATAATTAATAGCATATTGCCGCGGTTGGAATATATAACGATTGTTTCTATTGGTTACTGAGTGTGACATGTGGCTCGAGTAATTACTTAAATGCTCTCCTTCTACCACTTTGATTTATAATGTTAAAGAATTAAAGCATTTTCTTGATTATCTTCACAGGTAAAAGTAAGTTAAATAGACTTGTACTATTAAACATTTTTTTCAAAAATTAGCTTTTCCATATTTATTAGCCATTAGTGACAATTTTAAATTGTAAAATTACAATAATAATAAGCTAAAATATCATTTATATTAACTTTATTTTAGCTTAAATTATCGAATTTATAAGATTTAAAAGTTGTTCTTACAATTTTATTAGATTTATATTACTAATTTTAAATGCAGAAATTAGCATCCGTATTATTTTTAAATTAGTTAAGGACACAATAATTAACTGATTAGAAAGGATAAGAATATTCATTTTCAAAACATTATAAGTATCGGAAATAATTTTGGAGAATTTTGTCATTATAAGTACAGTACGTTTCATTAAACAATTATAAAAAAGGAGCGTGGAGTTGAAAAAGCAATAATTTTTTTTTTCAAAAATTCTATGGTATCTTTTTATCATTTTTCATTCTAAAAATACAATATTACTTCATCTCTTTTAAAATTTATTTTTGTGTTATAATGTTTAGAATATGATATTTCATCCTGAATATTTTTGAAAGAATTTAAATGTGTCTGCACAATCTATGTAGTTAATTTCATTTAAAATTGAGAGCTGAAATCTAAAGTTAAATTAAAATTAAATTTATATTCAAAATCGTTGATGAAGTAAGGATGAAATTATCTTTAAAGATTTAATTCATAAAAATTGTGATTTAAATCAAAAACTAAAAGATAAATAATCTAAAATAGATGTAATTAGACTGGATTTCTTAAGATATTAGTATCGATATGAAAGGTAATCGATTCGCTAAATACAGAGCATGTTTCGTAAAACCGAAAATCAGATTAAATTTAATATTTTAATTTGCATCAGATAGATATCTTTCCTCTTTCAGCCCATAGCCCGAGATAACTCGGGCTGCGCGTGACGCTGTGCAGTCCTTTCTAATCAGTTAATCCATATCCCGAGTTATCTCGGAATATGGATTAACTGATTAGAAAGGATAAGGATATTTTCGCGGCAAAAATATTTTATGACGATTTATTAATTAGGTAATTAAACGAGCTATTGTTTTTTATGGGAGTTTTTTAATCAAATTAATTAAATTGTTCTAAACTTCTATTTCACCGATTTGACTTCGATAAAATTTTTTAAAATGCTATTGGATGTTTTTTATGACATCAGCAGGTTTTTTTGTTTTTTGTTCAGTAGATTTTTTTCCCATATCTTCTTTCAGTCCCCTCGTAATTTAATAGCATAAAAATCGACAATATGTTTTTGAACAGATACAGTAAGTTAGCTCCCCTCCTGCTTTAAACCAATATTTCCCTGAAGCGTAGTACATGAAAACTACCCGGGAAAGCGGACTCCAGCTGTTCTCAAGATCAACCAGTTTGTAAACAATATAGACTGCACGTGTGAAATTTCACGCCTTGTTAAACGAAATAATAACAATCCTTAATAACAATAACAACAATCCAGCTATATTTTTCAAATAAAAGCATTTATTTTAAATTNTTTTGAAAAATAAAAATAAATAAATATACATTTATTTTTTTCTAAAAATTATTATTATGCGAACAAAAATTGGAAAAATGCCACATTATTATATATATATCGTTCAAATATATAAATAGGGAAATGAAAAATTAACCTTGACTAGGGATTTCAAATTATAATGACATAGCACTCGTAATTATATCCGTTATTTAATTAAAATGAAAATGAAGGATAAAGAATTTATTTCAAAGCAAAACCACACAACACAATTTTTTATATCTCAAATTCTTTTTAACTATATTTATCTTGAGAATAGGGACAGATGTTACGAAATGTTTTAAAATTCTTTATCTAATTCTGGGAAATTCCTATTCTCTATATTAGATGAAGAAGCATCTTTAATGAAATTCCCGAATCATGTAAAATAAATGTTAGATATAAACATAAGTAATAGCGGAGACATTGTAATGTAATGCAATTATTCAGTAATAAAAAAATTAAACTTTAGAATGAATGCAAAGAGATTTAGCGCTGTTTTTAACAATCGAGGCTTAAATTTTTGAGAATTTAACCACTATAAATCATGTTAATAATAAAACTAACAAGATTTATAACTATTAAAACAGATATGTAACTACATAATTTGAAAAAAATTATATTACAGTAGTCCCCCGTTATATCGCGGATTCGGATATACCGCATTTTTTTTCTCCCAAATTTTAAAAGCACTTAAGTCAATAAATTTTAAAATTTGAGTGACAAAAAAGTTCGGAATATATCCAAATACTGTATACGATATAACGAAGGCTACTGTATTAATTTAAACGTCGCAGGTTTTTAACACGTGACTGCCACGTATGACACATGTGTTATACAGTAACACTTCTAAAGGGGCCATTTATAACATGTAATAAACAGAAGTTTACTTTAAAGATAGTATATAATGTATCTGCAATACATTTAATATATTATTATTCTATTTAATTTCTGTGGCCCCTGTGTCTAAGTTCAAATAATATTTTCGTGGCGCTGAACAATAGTTAATTTTGCATGTGAAAACTCACTGATGTTAAGCAAAGAGAATATGGCACTATATTTTTTTTTATTGAATAAGCACAAATACAGATCAGAAATTAACCAACAAAACAATAACTATCAGAAGAAGTAGACATTTTGATGGGAATTCACACTTCAAACTTTATTGCTATATTATAAAATAACGTAGAAAAGTTAAATATAATTTGAAAATATGAGCATTGCTTTAAAATGAAACACAAAATATTATTATGATATATAAAAAATGTCTAATGAAAAGAAATTATATTTTTGAATATGTTTAGAAAAGCATATGTTTAGAAAAGCATTTCAGGTAAATGAATGGCTCATTTTCGGAAGATAGACAATACGTAGAGACAAGTTTGGCGTTTTTCTGACTGTACTTCCACTTTTTTTGTTAATTGTTGCTTAACATATTTTGTATGTTCTCCTTGTTCTTTTGTTTTCGCTGTTTCTCTTTATTAAAAGTGTGTGAACTTTATCCTTTCTCTGTGGTTTCGGGATTTGATTTAACGCATTAGCAAACTGATAGCATTAGATTCCCTAAAATTCTAATTTTCATCTTTTTTCCTTTGACTTCTTGATACACAATGAGAGCATTCACAATTGCCATTTGCAATAATAACTCAATTCCTAATTTTCTAAACCGTTTAACACCTTTTCGAAGTGTAGTAGCATAGAAAGCTATCTGATCTGAGAAATTTATTCCTTTATGATAAGTAATAACAGCTTCTGGTTTCACCTTAATGGGTAGATGTTTTCTCTTTCTGGAAAGATTACTTGTTGATGTTCCTGCAGTGCTTTCATTATTAATGGTTGTCTCCATAATCATGTCCTCGTTATATGCATCAACATCAATAGGTTCACTTTCATCAACTTCCCACCCCCCGCTTTTCATCATAACTGGATAACTGGTTTATGTAAATTAGACAGTATCCTAACATCTCCTGTATCTTTCCATTTTAAACTACTATTTCTCTGTCATCTTCACAAATATCATTTCTTCTTTTTTCAATTTTGCTTGATTTATTTTGTTTTTGGTATTTGCTTCTTATTTTGTCTTAGTGTGCCTATTACGTGAGTTCGTTTTGTAGAAATTCTTTTGCTAAATCGTAACTTGTGTAGAAGTTATCAACAAATAAAATTCTGCCTTCATTTAGTAGAATTTTAGCCAATTATTCACATACTTTCTTAGCAAGTTCTATTTCTTTATTTTCTTTTACACTATAAACTCCATTGCAAGAAGGATTTACTTACGCAAAGTAAATCCTTCTGATGAGTATAACTTGAAAAGTTTTATACAATATTTATAGGCTTTGGAATGTATTGCTTGAAAATTAGTCTCTATCTCCAAGGAACGAGTGTTTCCTCAACTATAATTGTTTAGTCTGGGCAAAAGACTTGCTGAAATTTTTTTAGAACAAATCTAATAGTGGTATTTTTCCCAGATCATCTCCTTCTCAGACGATAATGCAAAGATAGAGAGAGATCTTTGCATTATTGGAAAAGTGAACGAATTTTAAAAGTAATTTAAATCGATTTCTTGACATAGTATTGCCGGTAATATTATTTGAGTATAAAGGATTCGTTAACCAGTATATAAAGCCGGATGCACACATGCGGCGCGTCAAGGAAAAGCGGAAGAATGACGTCACTTTTTCTCGCCGCAGAAGTCGATTTTGTGCCGCTTTTCTCGTGCCGCAAAAGTTGGTTGAATTTTATCTTTTGCGGCAACTGCCGCCAAGACGCGTTTCTATCAGCCAATAACAGTTCGTCTGGTAGTCACGTGAGAAAATACAATCACGTGGTGTTTTAATGGCGGAAAGTTCGACGCGGTTAACCGAGATAGATAACTAACATCGGAATAAAGAGGAAAGGATAATAAATTTAACACAAATTCTACACAAATAAGCGTATATAATTTAATTCAAAGAACAGAACAACCGAATCTTACTCGAAATAGTATTCTTTATCGAGGAATAAGCGTATTTTGTATACCAGTTCTTTATCAATCCAAGAAAATATCTCTAATCCAAAATCTTCGTTCGAATTTTCGACAAAATCTTCTAACTAAATAAAGCAAGCCGTACAAAACAAAATTTGTAAACACGTGGATAGCGACAATATTGATATCGTTCGCCATTTTGAATACTGAACGCATGCGCCGAAATGTAAGCGGATTGCCGCTTGTGTGGCTGTGCTGCCGCGCGGGGAAGATGCGTTTGCGACACCGCTTTTCCTTGACGCGCCGCATGTGTGCATCCGGCTTAATGAAATTGAACCTCTTTTATTTAGACCAGTGTTTTTCAACCTTTTTGAATACGCGACCCCTTTACAAGTTAAAAAATTCTGGCGACCCCCTAGGGCCATATTAAAACTATATCAGTGATTTTAATTTAATTTAATTATATTTAATTTTCTTTCTGTTGAGAAAAATTATTATTGATTAGAATAAGATGTTAGGAAGAATCGACAATAACTTAAGACACGTATTGCTGTTGATCTTTTTTTTTGTGATTAGCATTACAGTTTTCAACTTCTACTTTTAAACTTATTACTTCTTTTTAAAAGTCGGCTCAACACTTTTTCGGCTATCATTTTTTGCAGTGGGCCGTACCCACCCAGACCCCTCCCTGGCGACACCCGAAGTACAGACCTAAATGTCGATCAAAAAACCAATTGTACTGTATAATAAACATGTACTCGCTGAAATTGTAATTTTTTTAATGTATTGTAGTAACTACAAACACATGTCTTTTTCTTTTACCCACGACCCCCCGTGTAAGGCTTCGTGACCCACAGGTTGAAAAACACTGATTTAGACCAATCCGCAATAAAAGTCCAAGAAATTTTTTTATTTATTTTACTAACAGAAACAGGTTTCCATTTGAGATATCTTGATTTTGGTTTCATTTGAATCTTACTAATATATTGTTTTGAATATTTATTTGTTTCATGGACAAGTATTTCAATTATCTCATTATCCAAAAATAATAAATAAATTTCCATCGGAGAGGCATCCGGATCAATTTCTACTTGAATTCCAGATTTTGTAAACTGGAAAAAGGATTGCTTTCTGTAACACTTTCCACTGAATTTCTCCCCCAGTAGGTATTATATTTCCTTCTTCATCATTTAAAAACACATTTTCATCTTCACAAATAAGCATATCAACAAGTTCATTTTCTAACAAGTTATTGATAGAATTACTCATTTCTTGACTTTTCTTAATCGGAAACATCTTCATTATCAGGCAAAAATGTTGGATCGTCAAAATTTGAATCATCTGACCCAAATAGAAAGCTGCCAATATCCTTTTCGCTTCGTTATTTATTAGAAATAGATCTTCATTATTGACAGTAAATATTCTAAATTAAATATAAATAAATCTGAAAATGCTATATGATAATTCATTTAAGTAATTATTATCGTACTTTTTGTCCAGAGTTAAATAAATACAATCATCTGGATAAAAATAGAAATTATTTTTTCTTTCCTCACACAAACTTGGCATTGCTAAGGTACCGTTGCTGTTTTGTAAAAACTCTAACTTAGAAACGGCATAAATGAACTTATATAGCAGTTAAGTTATATTATAATCATATTCGATTTATAAGTTAATCTATTAATACAAAGATAATGATTAATAACCCTAATTATATATTAAATATAATTATATGATTAATATTAATAACACAGTTAATATGTAATAAAAAAGATCATAAAAAGTTTTTCCTAAATATATATATAATGAGTATTTCGTCGTTTCACTCTTCACAACCATTAAAATTATTCAGATTTAATGAAGGTTTTATCAATAATTTCACTTGACATAATGTTTGATTAAAACTATAATTTTTTTTTTTTTTTTAAGATAAAGATAATCATTTATATAGAGAATATTAAAAAAATTGTTTTTAATATTTAATTCTCTTGTTGATGTTCCTGCAGTGC